TATTTTAAGCATACCTGAACTTAAACCAAGAGATCCACAACTTATCTTTGCTATTCAAGTAATCCCAAGCTAATACACAGCGAGCTGACACTTGAATATCAGACAACTTTCTAATTCCCAAACCACCTTCTGTTTTTGGTTTAGTAACACAATCCCAATTAAGAAGATGCATCTTTTTCACATTATCTTTGCTTCCCCAAAGGAAATCCCTGCATTACTTCTGAATTTGGTTGATAACCACCACTGGAATATCATAAATATTGCACCAATACTGAAAAATAAGAGTAATCACAGCTCGAATAAGTTCCAATTTACCTGACAGAGAGAAGTTTTGTGTTCCAGCAGAAAATCTTACTTGCAATCTTATCCTACAGATCCTTACATTATGATCTTTTTAAACCAGTTGGACACAAAGGAAGCCCCAAGTATTTGATGGGAAAAATATCTTCAGCACACTTCAAAACCTACAGCAGCAGATGTTTCCTTCTCACAGCCCTAGAAAACAAGACTCTACTCTTTCCCTGATTGATTTGCAGACCAGTAACAGCTTCAAATCTTCTAAAAATACCCTCAAGAGCAATAGCATTTTGAACTAAAGCCTCACAAGCTAGAATCAAATCATCTGCAAAAAAGATATAGCTAATAGGCTTTTGAAACTTTAACATAGATTTTAACACCACCAGAGATTTGTTATGAACAGCATCAGCAACCAAAGTTGAGAATAATTCAGTGATCAAGGTAACCATTAATCAAAATAGAGTATCTAGATGACTTAAAAATAACTTCAATCCAACTGATCCAAGTATCCCCAAACCCATATTTCTTTAAAGCTGTCAACAAACGATCCCAAGAGACAGAATCATAAGATTTCCTTATGTCAATCTTCAAAGCCATGGCTGCATTCCTGGGCTTGTTGAAATCTCTCACTAATTCATGAGCCAGTATTACTGCCTATTAGATTTTCCTGCCCTGTACAAAAGCACTCTGCTCCTTTCCCACTAAACTTGGTAATGTCATAGCTAGCCTATTTGCCATTAATTTCGTAACAATCTTATACACCAAGTTACAAAGGGCTATAGGCCTGAAATCCCCTAACTTTACAGCATCTCCCACCTTTGGAATCAAAGTAATGAAAGAGCAACTAACCCCCAAAGGCATAATTTTAGACACAAAAAAGTGTTGAATAGCTGCAAACACATCTTTATCAATCATAGTCCAAAAAGTTTGATAAAACCTAGCAGGGAAACCATCAGGTCCTGGTGCCTTGTCTGGATTGAAACTCATCACCACCTCCTTTACTTCTTCATAAGTAACAGGCCCTTCTAGCATAGCCTGATCAGTGCAATTCAAAGTATGCCGAGGAGTTATATCACACACCACATCAGAAGACTTCTTTGAGAAAAAAATTGTGTAATACTCCACAAACCAGTCACTAATAACCTTTTGGTTAGTTGAAACCACTCCTTCCTCATTCTCCATTTTGAGTATAGCATTGAAATTTCTATGTTGTTTCAGCTTTTGGTGAAAATAAGAAGTACACCTATCATTATCCCTCAACCAAGTAAGTCTTGATTTCTGAGCTAAAAGGATTTCTTGGTTTGCAAGAGCAGCATCATAATCTTCTTTGGCCTATTGTTCTTCATCAAGCAAAACATCAGATGGATTCTGAAATAACTTGTCTTGAACTGATTCTAGCTTCAAAGTAGACTTAAGGACTTTATCACCGACATCCCCAAAAAGGAAGGGTAATTTCCTTTTTCTTGAATCATTCTTAGATTTCCTTTTGGAAGTTGCCGGCGGCAACCACACAGCTTAATTCTAAATTTTTATTTTTACTTGAACACAGTGTGTGTGTGTATATATGTATATATATATTGAAATTATTTCTAATTAACAATGGAGAGAATGATACGTAAATTAGTCATGAACAATTATCTGATGCATTGTAGTGGAGAACTATTTTAATGGGCTTCAATTTTGACCTCTATGACTATGATAGAGGAAGAATATGAATCTTTATACTTTTGAAAAGAAAATATTAAGAGACTAACTAGCCTAAAAAAGAAAAAAGAGTGACTTTGGTAGAAAAATAAGACATCATATTTACCATTTGTGATATAATCTTAATTTTTATTTTTTGTGAAGTCTCTAAAAATTTTCCTCTAAGCTCACTGCGCTCTGCTTAAACAAGCAGTTTATATATCTATATATACAAGAACATATATATATATATATATATATATAAAACTTTTTCTTAATTTCCCAAAAAAGAATTTATAAATTTTCCAAAGAAAAAAAAAAAATGAGTATGAGAATCTGGAAATTCAAGTTCCTCTCTCTAGAATACCAAACCGGTGAAACTAAGAATTTCAAACTATGAATTCCATTAATCCTCTGAATTCCATTGAGCCTGGTTCTTTGGATTTGTGTAAAATAGATAGAGAAAGAGGGAGAGAGAAAGAGAGAGAGGGTGATTTATATGTTAGTATTTTTATCATTTAAATTTATATATATTTTATATTAAATTATATTAAAAAAATTAGGGGTAAATGAGTCAATTTGTATCTGTCAGAGTCTAAAAAGTGTAATTGAAAGTTAAAACTAAAATGTTCCTCTACAGATTTAATTAATTTGAAGGGGTGTTGGTATTAATTTACCCAAAAAAATATAATTAGAGAAGAAAATATATAAAAATAAATTAGAGAGGGAAATATCATTACTTTTATTTTTAGAGAAGCAAATATCATTTGAAATATAATTTAACTAAAGCCTTTTGACAGTGATTTGAAAAATCAAAAATGTACCGTTATTGTAATTTAATTGTTTATGTTATAATATATGTATTTTTTAATAATAATTTATATATTGGGTTTGGAAGCATTAAATTAGTGTTTTGATATAGATAAAACTAATAAGAGAAGAAAAAAAAAATATATATATATATATATATATATATATATATATATATATATATTTGTATTATTTTTCATACTTTTACCGGAGGTTTGGAGGACACTCTTCTCATACTAAAGCCTGACCTCAAGGGAGGAGAATCGAACTTAAAATACACCCAAAAAACAAAAAAAACAAAAAAAAAAAGGTCCAAAATATTTCTTATATGATTCAACATAATTCCGTTAAAATTAAGTATTGTGTAAAATGCGAAAAAGTAGCATTAACTAGTAACTACAGGTACAGCCTTTTGGTGGTGATTTGAAAAATTAAATTTCGTGGTTATCAAACTCAATTTATTTATGTTATTGCATTTGGAAGCACCATTTTGAATTTGAGATTGCAAAAAATTTAGTTAAAATTTTGAATTAAATTTTACTTAATTTTAAATTCATACTCCTAAACATGGTAATATTTTAAAATATCCAGTCATTTGATCTGATTCTTCATTATCCTAAAAAATATTTAATTGGATATTCTGACCACTAACTTTTCTCCATGTAAGAATCGATTTGAATGAAAATCTTGTTAAGAGAGGCTTGGATGTTGATCCAATTTGTGTTAGATGTGGGCTGGGTATGGAATCATGTGTCCATTTTTTATTTTTGGAATGCCCCAGCCCAATCATCGTCTGGAAATTTCCAATTTGGTTTTTCAGTGTTTCACCTGAAAGTCCTTTTGTTAATGGTGGAGTGAATGGGTGCTTTCTTGGGGTCTGCAAGCTTAGGTAAGGGCTGCTTAGGCCTCCTAGTTCAATGATTCCGGCTCAATCGTTGAACTTTGGTATATGCTGGTTTGACATTGCTTCAGAACAGACCTCATTTCACCTATGCCGTTGCGAAACTTTTTGGAAATCATGTTTTTATCATGGTTCATAGTCGCAGTATCGATTGCGATAACGGTGTTGACCCTAAAATCGGCTCCTAAGATCCAATCTTAAATTGATGTGAAACGGGCGTGCCAGAACCACTTGGGTGGTTCGATTGTGAATTGTCAACTTTAGTCCCTTTGAGAAAGTTGACTCTCAGACGATGCGAGGAAAAAGGGAATAAATAAATTCCTCTTTTGGTTTCAAAAATGCCTTAGTTAAAAGGACTTTCCAGTAAACAATTTATAGTAACGTATGGGGAAGAAATAGATATAAAAAGTGACAGAGAGAAAGATAGGGAGAAAGAGATATGGGGAGAGAAGTAACGTATGGGGAAGAAATAAATATAAAAAGTGACAGAGAGAAAGATAGGGAGAAAGAGATATGGGGAGAGAAATAGAATGAGACTGAAATAGAAAGAGTGAAATAAAGATAGCAATGATGCTATTTGGGGAAAGTACTTGAGAAAGCAAACAAATAAATTAAAGGATTCTGAGGGTGCTGGACCTCTGATTATTTATAGAAATTATTAGAAACAAATTCCTAAATACAAGTATCCTAGTTATATTCTAATACAACCACATAATTATTCAAATTAAACTAATCCTAACTAAATACTAATTCCAAATAAATTCTAATCGTATCAATAACCCAACTAAAAATAAATTCAAACTAAACATTTCTAGATAGATACTAATTCAAAAATAAATAAACACATAAATCTTATTTAACGTAAAGTTCAAAAACATTTTATCCATGTAGCATCCTTGCATATAGCGTTATTTTGTATGAGAACTGCCATGTTCATGTACAGCATTAATGGATTTTATTCCAACTAAAATGCTATTCCAAACCACCTTCAATCCAATCACCTTCCATGACCCAGATATCCTTCTCGACCCAAATTCCTAGCACATCATCACTGACCAGGCTTTATGTTCTTGGTCCATATTACTATATCATTAATGGTGTCAACAAACAGTCACGGTGTAATGAAATCAGACTAATATCAATATAAATTGGTCGAATCAAACGATTCACGAAAGTATGTAACGGTATCGGACCATTTAAAAAGGATTACAAACCGAAACGTTGTGTATCGACCGATACCATAATTGTTATGGAATCAATATTTGCTTGTATGCGTGAGAATATAAATCGTTTGGTTGATTGGAACGTGTGTGGAATCATCTCAAGTCTAGTTAGTTGTTTGCCAGGTTAAAAAACAAAGTACAATTGTACGAGTACAAATCATATTTGACTTTAGCAATCAAATTGAAACTGACTCCAAATCATAACATTAGAAAATTCCCGTTTTACAAGATGGCATTCCCAAATAAACCTCAAATGTTGTGACCTGTGACCACCTCTACCAATGATTTGAAATTTTCAGTTGAGGTCCCACTCGATCCAACAGCCTTAAGAGCAAGCTCTCTGTACACTCCAATTCGCTCCTTCAATTTCTTCCCTTCTTCATGCGAAAAAATGACTTCTAGAGCACGCATTGTGCCACTTTTCGTGAAAATCCCACCTTCCACCCTCAATCCAATTCGCCAAACATTTTCAACCATCCATGTATTCAGCTGCTGATCACCGAAGAATGGCCTCCCGATCATAGGCACACTGGCTGCAATGCTCTCCAAAACCGAATTCCATCCACAATGCGTTATAAAAACCCCGGTAGAAGCATGAGCCAGGACTTGTACCTGCGGTGCCCATGGCACTACTTTACTAATCTCACTATTCCTCCCCAAAAACCCCTTTGGCAAATGGCTTGTCATGTTGTCTCTAATAGACCAAATAAAGGGTGTACCACTTGCTTCAAGTGCCTCAGCCAATGCCACTATCTCCTTAGGTGAAGGTGATGCCACAGTTCCAAAGCCAATGTAGGCCACGGAGTTGGCCTTCTGCTTGTCCAACCAAGCTAGGCAGCCATGCTCATCCGTGATCGACCTTGGTGGCGGGGATGTTAGGTTGAAGGGTCCGACGTTGAGGACTTTTGGGAACTTGGACTTGAGGTCTTTGATGAGGGTAGGGTCTAATTCTCCGAAGGAGTTAATGGGAATGGCGGTGGCTCGTGTCAGACATTGTCCCATTTTATGTAGCAAGGTTGAGAAGGGTGATTCTAAGTTTCCGAAGAGGACTCCACTAGGTAAGTCACCAAGGCGTAGTGCAGAAAATCCTGGAATGAAGCTTAGTATTTCGTTCTCACGATCTGCAACATCTGTATGTGCATTGATATGAAATCAAGTACTAGTTGATTAGATGATAGAAAATAAAGTAATGAATTCAAAGTAATTGTTTTCTCAAGACCAAATATTTGAATTTGGGAAAATTAAAACATACGTACTTTTCAGGTTTGATGGTAGAAATTCATCAAATTAAATTTAGCAAGTGTGTTGTGTTACATTTGATATACATAGAGTCATAGCCATACATCATGTCCTCTCAGCATTTTTATTTAGGTTTATACTATATGTACAATTTGAAGAAGCCCATTCTCCAACTTATAACATAGACTGGGCCGAAATTAAAAATCACGAAGTGCACAGATCAAATTCTAGTAATTTTCAAATTTCAGCAAATTTGACTAAATTTATAGAGTACAAAATTTGTCTGAACTTTTGTTGAATTAATCAAAATATTAAAAGGGGTTTTTAATTGTTGAATTCTGAAATGGAATCCTTTTTAGATTTGATTATATATGGCGAAAAAAACATGTCGGCCATGTTATTACTACTTGTAAAAAATAACTACAAAACTAAACACGTATTGAGAAAAGTGTAATGCTATTATGAGAGCCCTTTCATAACAAGAGATAAAAGTCCTACTTATTTAACTACTGAATTGAGACATTCATTGAAATTTGTAAAAAGTTATGGAACATTTAATGAGCTAGTTAATTTGTTGATTGAATAAGAAGAGTTCATCATGAAAAGACTCTCATGATAATATTATTTTATTAAAAATAATACAAAAATTATGTATATGTATATATATTAAGTAATGGTGAATTCGTCAAGAGTCTTAAATGGTAGAGATATTGTCAAATAATTAATGGGAATATATGTAAAATTTCAAACCTCCACCCTAAAATTAAAAAAATAATAAAAAAGTACATCTCGAAGGTTCTAACTTTTTGAAAAGACAAATAATTTGATGATTCATTCTAAAGGGAAAACAAAAAAAATTAAACTAGTCCTTAATGCCATGCTAATTGACTGTGATAACCACCTTCGTATCAAAATTTTAAAAATAACAAAAACATCAATTATAAAAAAGTAAAAATAATTTCGATGTCAATTCTCACTTGTATCCCCGTTATTTCTTTGTGAAAAATTGTAACTCTTTTAAGTTTTAATATAGGCGGTTTAATCAACGTTTTGTCTCAAAAACGTCTTTTTTTGTTCTTATTAACTTGAATCAATTCAAATTTTTTTTTATATCAAGATATGTATTATAGAAATTTCGATTAATTACAATGACACCCCCTGAGGTTTGCTATAATGACAGTCATATACAAGTTAGTCATTTTTTGGACAAAGACACCCCCTTAAGTTTAATAAAGTTAACAAAAACACCCCAATAGTCATTACACATGGTGAGTTGACATTATTATCCTTTAACACATTCCATTACCAATTTATCTAATACAATTCTTTTTAATTGACCAAAATACCCTAGTAACCTAACCAACAGCCACCACGACCAGTTCACACCCACCACCACCCATTTCACAGCCATACCATAGTCGCCACCAGACCCACCACCATGGTGCTCAAAATAGAGCTACCAAATATCACAGAATACAAAATGGAAAGAGAGAGATATCACAGCCCTACAATGCCATTTTGGGATCTGTCAATAGCTTTGATGATGGAGAGGTCGAGGAAGGTTGAGTCGTCGTCATCGTTCTCAGCTGTGGCGACTCGTTTGCACTTAGATATGTGGTTGCAGTGGTGGCGATTTCAATTATTTGTCTTCGTTTTGATAGAGAAATTACAAATACCTAATTTCTGTGCAATTTCGGGTGGGTGTGTTTATGTGTGTGTGTCTGTGTATATGTATCCATGTATGTGTGTGTGCAAGAGAAGGAAGAAACGCAATTTGTTTATGTATATATGTATCTATGTGTGTGTGCGCGCAAGAAAGGGACAATGTGTGTGTGTGTGTGTGCGCGCGCGCAAGAAAGGGAAGAAGAAAATTTTGGGGGTGGTTTTGTAGCCCTAGTTGTGGACGGTGGTGGTGGTTGTGGTTGTGGCAGTGGGTGCAGAGAGATGGTGGCGGTGACGGCACCGTGGTTGACGAGAGATGGTGTGAGTCAAAGCTTCCACTTGTTGTTGAAAACATTTTATTGTATCAAGAAATCCGTTGGACAAGTGGATTTACATGCCCTCGTCTACCTTGCCAGTGGCCAAGATGGATCATCTCCATTGACAATCCACGGCGGCGAAATTGACGACAACAGCAGTGTCAGTGGTGGTGAGTGGTGATTCGATTGATTTTGATCGGAGATGTGAAAGCCTTTGTGGTCGTTGGAAGGAAGGATAGAAGGGTCCTAGGCAGTGGTGATTGGTGGTGGGTGAAATCGAAGGGGTGGGTTTTTTCTTGGGTTGTCTTCAATTAAGTGGAGGGCGGAGGTTAGGGAATTGGGTGTAGCGGCATCGAAGAGGGTGGTGGTGGCGGCTAGTGCTCTATCTTCCCCGCTGCTCTTCCATATACATATACATATACATATACATATACATATACATATCTATATATAAGGACAATAATGTATATAATGTATATATATAAGGACAAATTTGACTTTTAATGAGTTTGGTTATTTTATCATAAAATGAATTAAATATTAAAGGGCAATTTCGTCTTTTCTAACATTTTAAGGGTTTATTTGGGTCAAAATTATCACAAGGGGTGTCTTTGTCTAAAAAAAAATTAAGTTGTATATAATTATTAATATGTCAAATTTTAAGGGGTGCCGTTGTAATTAATCCTAAAAATTTAGATTCTTATTAATGAACACATAAACCAATTAATTATTTTTATAATAAAAAAAATAATAATAAAAAATAATCAATCAATTAAATGATGATAATGCCATCGACTGTCGCATCAGATTGGGTGGTGAGGCCCATGTCATTAAAGAAATGGGAGAGACGTACCCGCAATACAATCTGTCAAATTTGTTTCGGTTGTAAAGTCACATGTTACTATCTTGAAGTCTGTGTGGTGTGGGTAAAGCTGTCAAACTCATTAATGAAAGAAGCCTCTCAGAGTACAGACTTAGATGAGGAGATTGTCAAAGAATCATGCATCGTTTTTCCAATCGGTAGATGTAAAGCCTATATATATAACTCTTCATTTTCTTTCTAAGTAAATAAAAAATATATGAAGTTAGTTCGAACGCCTAAAATTAAAATATATATATATATAATTCATAAAATTGAAATAACTTTTTTTTAATTTTATTAATTTTAATTTCAAAACTCGAATTTCATATCACCGAAATTTAATATGTTTTTGTGAAAAATAAATACGATTTCACTCGGTAAATATTCTCCACCCTGCAATTCTATAGTGGATTATAGCGACTTTCGTACCAGTCTCAGTAAGCTCATGAATTACACTTAGCCGGAATATTTATTTTTTTGTCTTTATGTAGTTTTGTTTTTTTGTCTTTGTCATAAAATAAATAAATAAATAATAACTAGAGATTTGATTTTATTGATATTTGTAATTGGTTGATATTTTCACATAATCAACTAAAAATATCTTAGTTGGAAAGTCGCATCCAAATGTTTGAATGGTTTGAAAATGAGACTTGAGAGGCTTACTTCTAACAATAATTCAAATGCGATGATCTTTTCAGCTGTTGAATCAGTATTTTCACTAGCGAATAGTTTAAAGCCGACTGATATTTTGTAAATTATTAGCGAACACTGAGGTAGTAGTGCATATATATACATACATACATACACAGTTCCATTGGGTGTATGACTTCAAAGCATACTCCATCAAACGGATGAATAAAATTTCCCCTCATGTGATTTGTTTAGAAAATATGAATAAATTAAAGACAACATATTGAGAAAATGAAAACAATTCACATATATATATATATTGAACTAGAATTGGTGTTAGTAAGTCTTACCAGTAGTTCCAACCGTTTGCCTGATAAGATCAGTGTAAACATGCACGGACAGAGAACAAGCCCCAGACGTCCAAAGTGGCACCCACGAGACCCCCATGTCCTCTGCCATCTCCGCCGCGAACCACAGAAAACCATCCGCCAACAAGCAGCTGATCCGCCTCCCGGTGTCTGCCTCAGCCGCCTCCACGCCTCTCCTAAAATTCTGGGGCGCCACCTTGAGGAACAACTCAATGTCCTCCTGTGGCTTCCCGGAAAACACATAACCCTCGGGCACTCCATCGGACACATCATAGGGTATGATGTTATCGGGTACTGTTGGCATCGAAAACAATGGTTGGTTGGATTTGGTTGTGCTGAAGAAGGAGAAGGTCACGTTCGGGCCAGCATCGGCTAACCTCCGGACAAGGCCGAGGAGGAGACCGGCGTGTGTTGCGAATGGGAAGGCGAGAACGGCCACATGTTGGTTCTTGGGTGACATGGACATGGTTTGGTTATGTGAATTAAGTTTTGTAGTGCTTGGAAATGTTTGTGATTTTTATATTTTGGTTATGAGTATGAAAAAAGGTAAAAGAGAGAAACCACCAAGTGGACACTGAAGACGAGGTCCAATTTTTTAGAAGTATTTATAGAGAGAAAAATGTTTGTGATTTTTATATTAATGCTCATGTACTGTGTTGGAATATAGGCCAAATAATGTAACATGTGTAGTTGGACTTTACTATCCATATAGACTGGTGCGTTGGCATTGTGCCAACCTCTGAATCCAACAACCAAATACATTTGTTGAAAGATGTGAGTAGTAATAGTCACCAACGTACGACAACCATGAGCGGGATCTGATGATCACATTCATTCCCTTCTGTCAAACCATGAGCATTTTTGGCTTTGTTGTTCTTCTATAATCTATTCTTTTGTTTCGAAATTCCCCACCATAAATTTTAGTCGTTAAATTTATTTTATTTTTATTTTAAAATACTACATTATAAAATACTTATTTTATTTTAAATTAAAACAAAATACTATAAAATACAACTCATACTAAACGGACCCTAATTTAAGTGGCTCATTCTCTCTTCACTCCTCCGGTGGAGATGTCTAAAGCCCCGTTTGACGAGAAAGACTCATAACATGTTACTTATATCATATCACATAACAAAAAGTGCATTTGTTGATGCCTTTTTCTCTTTATTTCTTATTCTTCTTAATTTCATTGTCAAAAGAAAAAAAAAAACAAAAAAAACACACATACACCCACACAAAAAAATATATATCAATGAGACATTAGCAAATGGTATAAAATAGAAGTGGGAATTCAAGCCCAATAATGAAAAAATTGTAAATTTTGTTATATATGTGTGACTACTTAATCAAAAATATAATAAAAAGAGAAATCCACAAATCACATCCATATAAAAATTCATGCAAGATTTTCTTATAGAATACGGATAATTTTAGAATAATTACCCCGCACAACCAATCAATGTGTCCTAATATTATTTGGTCACTTATTTTTTTATTTTTTCAATTGGTAAGAAACTCAATTACTCATTACTTTATTATGTAATGTTAAACTGGTTTTGAGAATTAGTTTGGCCTAAATAAAAAATTATAGTAATTATTTGTTGTTTTCTTCCTTTTTATTTTTTTTCTTTGATTTTTAAAAGCTTCTTCTTTTACAACTTAATTACATGGGACAAATATTGATCTTTGAGAATTTACCATATATATATATATATATATATATATATATATTCCTCCAATCTCAATTTAGATGTCGTTTTTTGAGAATATGAATTTTTAAAAAGTCATGTGGGACATATTTTGTCTCTTTAAAAAATTATTAATTTGTTTTTATATTTAAGTTTAAAATTTTAAATTTTAACCATATATATAAAAAAATATAAAATATATTATTTAAAAAACAATGGACGATTATTTAGAACATAGAATTATTATAATTTTTTTTGATCTTTGAGAAGAAAAAAATGAATTTATTTGATTGGACATAACATTAAATTTGTGTCACTATTCCAACTGATCTAGGATTTGACTAGTCAGTTGCTAATAGTATTACTCGAGGTATCTGAGCATATCACGCAGTCTGAATGAGAGTATATAATTTCCTTACCGTCGCTGACACATTTGTGGCCCTATTTGTTCCACGTTTTATGTCAAACAGATACCAGTTACTGCATTCAAATTTCAAACCAAATAGCAACCATACATCTTAATTATTTATGAACCAATTCAACTACTTAGAGCACGTCCAATGGAGTGGAATACCGCGATTTTGGGCCAAGTTTAGAAATTGGCCTGCTCTAATAAGGTAGTTAAAAATTGGACTCCATTCATTGGATGGTGGAATAGGTCACGGTATTCCACGACCCTGTTGGTAAGTCGCGTCGCATTTATTTTTTTATTCTGGCCCAAAACTTATTTTTAGCCCAAAACACTGTTATTAAGGGTATGTGTACTTGAAAAAAAAAATTAAAAAAAAATCAGTTTTTTAGCTAATTTTGGTCTCTCTTTTTTTTTTTTCCAAAATAATTGAACCAAATTTTTGGGTTAAAAAAAAAAAAAGTTTAAAAAATTAAGATAAAAGTGTTTTTTTTTTTTTTAAATTTACTTTTTAAAATATTTCTACTGACATATAGTCGTTTTAAACACTGTTTGGCTAACCCAAACAGTGCCTTAACAGCTATATTAGCACAAAAACCTATTTTTTGAATTTTTTTTTTTTGAAAAAATTCATTATATATATATATATATATTTAAAAAAATAAATAAAAACTTTTCATTTTTCCTCTATAAATACATCAACCCTACTATTATTCACCTCATATCCAACTCATCTTCTCTAGTTTTCAACCTAGAACTACAACCACTAAGTCATTTTCTCAATCTTTTAGTTATATTTTTTATTCAAGTTTAATTCCATGGATCCTCCACCACCATATTACAACTACAACTCCTAATTCAACCAATCAAATGATAACTTTGATCCCTTCTTATTTGTTGAAGAAGAATCTCAATTTCCGTCTCATCAACCTTCTCGAGTTTTTAACATTCCTATTGAAGTGTCACAATCCAATAACTCCCAACCTCACAGAAAGCAAAAGGCTATTCGGCCTCCTAATTGGTCCACGGTTGAAGATGAGGCTTTATATTATACGTAGATGACCATTAGCACTGATGCGATCATCGGTTTAGTCCAACATAAGGCAACGTTATGGATCCGAATTAAAGAGAGTTTTGAGCAACACGTTAGTGGTGCTGATACACCTAAAAGAAATCATATCGCCTGTTTGAATCGTTGGTCCATCATGCAACAAATGATTACCAAATTTTCTGAATGAATGGCCCAGATCAAAAGGAATTACCCCAGTGAGCAAGACAATCAGTACAAGGTAAGTTATTTATTATATTAAATTTAATTGGTAAATATTTTAAAGATTTGTCTTCTAATAATTATTGATTTTTATTTTTTTAGATAATAGCAGCCAAAGAGTTGTTTGCTCGTCAAAATAATATCAAATTTAAGTTTGACAGTTGTTGGAATATTTTGAAGAGTAACAATAAATGGCATTTACATTGTCAAAAAGAATTGACATCCAAAAAAAAAAAAAAAGCCGAAGAAGATGAGTGGAATCCACATTGATGATAGTGAGCCTAATGGTCACTCAAACCCATCCACTCCATCAAGTAATGCAGCAACGACACCAAGTTCGGTTGAAGGATCGGCGCACAATGATCCGACGGATGTTGAAGAATGTCAGCGACCAGAAAAACGAAAAGCAGCGAAGCAGAAGCTAAATAAGGATAAAAGACAATCTAAAAGTCAGAATGATTTCATTAGCAAATTCGGATGTTTATGTCGTATCGTATTATTTTTAATAATAAATATTCTATTGTTTAATTTTTTTTTTATGATATAGCCGTTAGAAAAAAGTTAAAAAAAAAAATTATTAAAAATTTAAAACATATTAAAATATTAATATTTTTGAAAAACGAAAATGTAGCATTGGAGTACATCCGATAGCTAAAATTTGGAGATTCTAAAAAACTGACGTGGTTATATAAAATACTGACGTGACTATTGAAAAATGCTGATATGACAAATTTGAAGAGTTCATTAGAGATACCTTTAGAAACCAAATGTTTTTAACTGGTTAATGTATCTTATATAAAAAGGTACAATCTTTTACTTTTTTTAATTTTTAATTTAATGTATACAGTCAAGAAATTATGTCGATCGAAATATCGCTACTCGTGTACTTCCAACTTTCTAATTTTATAATAAATAATGTTATCTGTTACTAAAAAAATGACACCTGCGTCAACCAGTAATTGTGGAGCGTCACAATTGGCTTTTGTTTATGGTAAGACAAAATAGTGGTTTTTTTTTTTTTTTTTTTCCTGAAAAGTTAAACAATCTATTATTATAGATCTAAATTTCATTTTAGAGCTTTTAGTATTAAGTGGGTTGAAATGAAAAGCATGTGTTTATAAAATCAATGCATGATATACCAAAAAACCAAAATGTAGCACGAGATATCTTTTACGGAGTAGTTACTAATTAGTATTACAAGAGTGGAAATTAATTAATCACTATGGTTTCTTATTAACTATGTCTAACAAAGTTTTGAAATTTTCAGTTGAGCTCCCATTTGGTCCAACAGCAATTTTAGCACTCTCTTTTAGCACTGCAATATTTTCTCTCATTTTCTTCCCTTTTTCACTGGACAAAACTACATCTAAACCATTAATTGTGCCACTTTTAGCAAAGACACCACCTTCAACACACACACCAATCCTCCAAACGTCCTCCACCAGCCTGCTATTCAACTTTTGGTCTCCGAAGAACGATCTGCAGATCATCGGAACGCCACCTGAGATGCTCTCTGACACTGAGTTCCAACCGCAATGTGTCACAAACACACCAACCGAAGGATGTTCCAAGACCAGCAGCTGAGGAGCCCATGGAACAATCTTTCCTAGCGTGCCAATGCTTTCGAGAAAACCTTCCGGGAAATGTTGCTTTGAAGTGTCCTTAAGTGACCATAAAAATGGAACCCCTTTAGCTTTTAGTGCCTCCCCTAATGCAATTAGCTCATTCGGGGGTGGTGTCGCCATAGTACCAAAGCTAAGGTATGCCACTGATGCAGCCTCGTGTTTGTCCAACCAAGAAATGCAGCCATTCGTGTCGGAATTCGGCAATGGTGGTGGTGATGTTAGGGCAAATGGTCCGACATTGAGCACCATTTGTAGCTTGGACTTGAGATCATTTGTGACGGTAGGGTCTATTTCTTCAAATGAGTTTAGTGCAAGAACTGTTGCGTGTGGTACTTTTATCCCCATGTTATATAGGAGACGTGACATAGGTGGTTGCTCTAAATCCCCACAGACTCCTTCAAGGGGTAAATCCTTGGCTTGTATTGCTGACAATCCTGGGATGAATCCGAGGGTTCTATCTGCATTTTCCTCTGTGACTGTTTTTATGGCAATAAAGTAGTCAACAAGAAGCCGGAGAAAAATATGTTAGATATTAATTCCTAGAAACAATTTTATAGCAATGGTGCGAAACAATTTTATTACAATGGTACAAAACAAAAGATTATGACAATTGCAGTAAATTTGTTTGATTTATTATGGTCTGTAGGTAGGGTTAAAGATAAAAAAAGAAAAAAGGGTAAGACTATGAAGTATGAACATACGTAAGACTAAGCCTTCTATATATACATATTTGAGAAAACTTGTGCACTCTGTCAAAAAAAGAATTAAGATTTGGAAATTCGATCAGGCTCAAATTAATGGGTCACCACATGTTTTTTGAAACAAGAATAATTCGAAAAATGAAGTAAAAGCCCCAAAGATCATTGCAATATAGTCCTCTTAATGTATAATTTTGAAATGGTTACCAGTTGGTCCAATTGTGGTCCGGATGAGATCAACATAAACATGAACAGCAATAGAACAAGGACCAGCAGTCCAAAGTGCCACCCAAGGAACCCCCATTTGCTCCGCCATCACACCGGCAAACCACAAAAATGCATCGGTCAACAAGCAAGTGATCTTCTTACCGGTGTCGGCCACCACCGCCTCCACGCCTCTCTTAAAGTTATCGGGCATTGCTTTTAGGAAATGGTCCACGGCCTCTAGCGGATTACCAGAAAAGACATACCCCTCCGGGAGTCCGTCATCCACGTTGCATGGTTTAATGTTACAACCATTGACTTGTGTTGTGGAAAAGATTTTGTCATTTGACATTGCAGTGTTAAGGAAGGAAAATCTCAAGTTGGGTGCCTCGGCAGCCAAACGGTGCACTAGTGTGAGGAGAGATGCAGCGTGAGAGCCAAAGGGGAAGGCGAAGACGGCGATGTGACCCTCTCCCGTGAGTGGCATGTTTGGGTGGTGGGAAAGATGGAAGGAAGATTAGGTCTGCATTTGTATCAAGTTGGAGTGTGTGAGGGAGATGCTAATCATAATGTGTGTGGAATGGTTCATATTGGTGGGGGAGAGAGAGAGAGAGAGGAGGAGATTGTATACACACTCTTTTTGTTGGCTTAGGGAAGAGAAGAGTTAGCGTTGTTTGCAAGAGAAGCGGTAATGTTGGTTACATTATCTTTTGGTGGGAATTAAAACAGGAGAAGAGATAGTGAAATAGGAGAATGACACGTGGTATTATTGTCCAGTGGCACTATCATTTTTTATAAAAAAAAAACAAAAGTCACTATTTTTAGATATTGGGTCACGTAAGCATTACCATCCCTTCAAATACTATAATATATTATCTCATTATCATTAATTTTACAAGTAGATTATAAATAAGTGGACAAATTTTTTTTGTAAATGATATATCGTTATTGGTTAGATATACCAATAACTTGGTATACTTTCAATATCTATTCTATTAGGAGAGGATACCATGCGTAAGAACCCTTAAGGTATAATATACTTTCTCGATAAATATTTTTTTATGGCAAGAAACACACACTTTTTACCCACACTTAAATTTGAATCCCTCTCCCCTCCTCTTTAAAAATGAGGACGTTATATCATTGGACTAGGTACCCGTTGACTATAGCTTCAAATGCTTAAACAATTTAACAATAGGAATAGTACATAATCTACCCTTCCCTGGACCTGCAATGGCAAGAGCCTCTACATAAATAACATTTATTTTTTCTATAACATGAATTTTGATTTGAATTAAAGCTATTCCAGAGCAACACTTGAATTTAAGTGATAGATGTAAATGAGAACTGCAGAAGCCCAAAAATGAAATCTTGCGAAAGGTCAAGCCTTGGCCCAGGCCCATAATGGGGGAAGCCCAGCAAGAACTAAATTTCAAAAAGAGACTGTTGGTCCAATGTTACAATCCAGTGGTCATAGTGTACAAGAACGGGCATTTCCTTGCCCCCTTTTCTGATTATTTTTTGAAAATCTTCATGGATGGATTTAGAATGGGTCTTCCATAGTATCTATGGACACTTCTTAAAGTGAGAAGAGAGAATGAATCCCGATTTCCTGATGACAGAATCAATATTTTTGTAAATTAAATACCATTCAAATCTTTCCTATACTAATTGAACACTTAAATGACCTATTTCCATGTGGGGACGAAAGAAAATTAAAGAACTCAGCAATTATTGGCAAAACTACAATTATTGTTAATCAAGGAAAATAATTCGTATCCCAACACCTGCGATACACCTAGCAGTTGGAGAATCCATGAAAATGCAGGACATTAGCTTTAAAGAATGAAATATATTATGCTTTGTTTGGTAGGGAGGAAGAAATTGGATGGAAGGAAAAGAAGAATAGATGAAGGAAAGATCACGAGAGGAAAGATTGTGTCATTCTCTCTTTTTATTTGGTTGGATGAAAGAAAAGAGAATAAGGTAATACCTTGTTTTGTTTGTTAGGAGAGAGAAGAGAAAGTGTTTATTATTAGTTTGTACTTCAAAAACTTATACAATAGTCTTGGTTTTTTTTTCTTCTCTTCTTCCGTCCGTATTCGGGGAACGAAAATCTGTGATGGAGAAATAATGAGTCATTCATGCTCTTTTCTCTTCTCTCCTTCACTCTTCTCTACCAAACGAATAAAATTTATTTCTTCATTCCTATCTTCCCTCCATCACTCTTCCTTCCTTCATATCAAACAAAAGCATAACATATATTATATGAATTGAAGATACAATATTCCGTTTCATCTCTCTCACTCTTACTCTCTCTCTCTCTCTCTTCTCCCTAGCTTCCTTTCTACTTTCCACCCGTCATGGTCTATTTATAGGCCATGACCCTCTTTTGCAGTTAACCAATTACATTGGGCTTACAGCCCAAAGTTCTCTTCCTTCTGGGCTGGGTCTTGTAATGGGCTTGACCTTCCTCGGTGGACCCCCCACGTTCGGCCCACTCCAGGGTGCTTTGACATGGATCCTTCTTCAATCATTCGACCCGATCTCGTTTCCGCGATCCATATCCGGCCCATGCCACTTGCCGCATCCTCAACTGCCCCCATAATTACCCCTTATTGATTAGGGGGTAATTATTAGAGGCTGCTGATGATGACCTGACCGCTCGAGGAGATCGTGTGGGAGAATAGACGGTTAGTTCTAGGGGTCGGCGCTTCGAGATTCAAAAAGACAACCCATCGCTTTCCTGACTCCTCGGCTCTCAGGCTTATCTCGTCTTTATAAGCCCCGTCAACTCTCCATCGATCCTCTTTACCGTCTCCATCTCACCTTTTGCTGCTTGAATCTTCTCCGGCGATCTCTTGCGAAAGATCTTCCTTCCGGTGGCTTTGCAATACTTCTCTGCCGTTTTCACTCTCTAAGGTTAGTTTCATTTGCATTTTTCTTTTGGAAGACTTCTTTCCTCTCCCCAAAATCCTCATCCACTCACACCATGACAGTAGATCTAGACGTTCTTCGCATGAAACTTCAACTTCCTTATGATGTAGAAATTAGAAACTGCCCCCGGGAAGTGAATATTAGAACCGGTACTGTCCTTCTTCCCGGCGAGGCCTTGTTTTCACTCCTCCATCTCAATCTCCTTAGATTGCCTCTACATCCTTTCTTTTGCTATGTTTTTAACAAGCTAAATCTTTCCCCTTTACAAGTAAACCCCAATTTCCTTAGGATTTTATCCGTTATGCTACTCCTGATTCGTGACAGAGGTCTGGATCTGGACCTCGTAGATCTCCTCCTCTATTACAAGGTCAGCAAGATCAGAACTGACGAACCATTCTACCACTTTTTCCCCATTGAGAAGAGGTCTATCTGCACGGATAAGATCAAATCTGAGAAAGGCTGGAGGAAAAACATCACTGGGGTTAGGGGAGCCTGGTTCTCTCCAGCTGCGGAGGGTTTCCCTATCCCAAGCGCTTTCGGAGAGTGCTCTGTCTCTTTTTACAAGAAATATAAAAACCATAAGAGTGACTGTCCTTGCGAGATCTGCATTCCTCGTTTTTGTTCTTTCTTGTGCCATTCCTTAGGTATTCCTTGTGATGACTTGAGCTACAGTGTGTGCAGGGATAGGGATAACTACTTGAAACGGTACGTTCTGACCAACGTTCCCTCTTGCTCGGACCTTCTCACCTCAGATAATCTCCTCGACATCTCAGTCCTCGGCAAGACAATGAGCCAACTCCAGATCCCTTCCTTCGGTAGGAAGAAATCTGCCCCCAGGCCTGCTATCACTCCTGCGTCAATCTCCTCACCGGCTTCAGCATCTTCCTCCGCTACTCTTTCTGACACCACTCCTTCCACCGATCCATCCGCGACGGCTGCTGACTTGGTAGCTAACACGGCGACTGCCAGCCCGAACGTTGCCCTCTCTGCCAACAATCCTCCTGGCTCTACTGCTGCTTCCGCACGGGAAAAGGCCAGAGGAAAAAGGCATCAACCTGACAGTGCTCTGAGCATGGATGACGTTCCCTTGTCTCAGAGGGTTAAGCCCTCTGAGCCGAATGTGATTTCCCTGGCGAGACCTCCTCAAGCTAGGCCCCCCACCCCTTTTGGGCAAGCCTCCGCTTCAGGAACGGCGCCATGGAGCCCTCGCTTCATCCGAACAGACGGATCGTCTGTGAAGCCGACCGAGACCATGTTCAAAGATGGTCAGACCGCGATGGCCTACTACAGGAGTATGTGGACTCCCAAGGACATCGAGGTAGCCAAAGGTCTATCTCAGAGGGAAGTGTTCAGCCGATTCCCCTTGTCCGCTATGGAGGTAACTTCTACCCCTTAGTCGATAAATCTTTACATACTCTTGCCACTTATCTTCTTCTAACCATCTGCTCGGCTTAACCAGTTGTCCTGTATATCTCTACAAACCTTGTACGGGATGATGGCTATGCAAAAACAAGTTGAGCAGGTGAATGCCTAGGTCCGCGCTCTCTCTGACAGCCTTAGCGTAGCGAACAAGGAGAACGACAACTTAGCTGCTCAGAAGACCGGGTTGATGGTTCAACTCAGTAAAACTGAAAAAGAGAGGGATTTGCTAAAGAGGGAAACCGACTCTCTTCAGGATGAGAGGAATGCTCTCCAGCTTGAAAAGAGTATCTGGCAGACCGAACGGGAATCCCTTCGGGCCGAGAAGGAAGAACTGCTTCACTTTCTGAATGACGAGCAGTCCGCTCGGATGGCCTTTGAGAAGAGGTCCCTGGACGAGCGCAACGCTCTACTTGATACCATCAGCAGGGTAAATGGTGGTATGCTAGCTCTGCACGCTCGATTCTCTAGAGTCGGGGCCCTCAGATATGCCCAGGGGTTCCAAGAGGGTTACGCCAATCGCATCCCGGATGAGGGTCAAACTGGCTCTACCCCTGATGATGTTGATAAGGATCTGGATATTGACCCTCCTGGTGTTTATATCGATCCGGACTCAACCGCTGCCGAGGGGATATTTGATGAATGTCAGGAGATTGCGTCTTCTCGGATCACTCCTACTCCTCCTGCCGCTCTGACTTTGGACATTCTCCCTGTGTCCGCTTTGACTCCATCTGCCGTTACTGCTGAAGAAAACCCTCAGCAGAATGATTCTTCCACCGCTACAGAGGGTAGGATTCAACAGAACGATTCTGTCATTCATCTTAACTCTCCACCTCGTGAGGATTGCGACACCACCAACAATGAAGAGGTGGCCCAACATCATCAAGAGGCCGACGAGGCAAACGCCTCTTAGTTAGGACCTTTTTTTTTTTTTTTTTTTTTTTTTTGCAAGTGTTTAATGTTCGGCTCATTGTGCCGACTGTAACTTACTTTGCTCAGGTGCCTGGCATTTGGCTAGAATGCCACTTGCCACTTGGCCCTCTAATTTTCTTTTAGCAAGTGTTTGGTGTTCGGCTCATAGTGCCAGCTGCCACTTACTTTACTTAGGTGCCTGGCGCTCGGCTGGAATGC